AAGCTGAACATCAAAGAATTGATGCTTTTGAACTGTGGTGCTAGAGAAGACTCTTGAGAGTCCCTTGGAATGCAAGGAGATCCAACCAGTCCATCCTAAAGGAGATCAGTCCTGAATATTCATTGGAAGGATTGATGCTGAAGCTGAAGCTCCAAAACTTTGGCCACCTGATGCAAAAAACTAACTTATTGGAAAAGATATTGATGCTGGGAAAGATTGAGGGCAGGAGGAGAAGGGGGCAAAAGGATGAAATGGTTGGATGGTATCATTGACTCAATGGATATGAATTTGAGCAAACTCCACAAAATAATGAAGGACAGGGAAGCGTGGCATACTGCAATCCATGGGGTCACAAAGAGTCGGACACAACTGAGTGACTGAACACCACCACCATACCATAAACCATATACCAACAATACCATATACCAACCGAACTACATTCAATGAGAGAACAGATGACTCTCTTCCATTCCCTTGGCGTCAGCTTCTCAGTCACTAAACCACTGATTCCCACGGCCAAGCCAAAACCATAACCACCAGCCAATGCCCCAAAGGAGTCCACATCATGCCAGGAAGTCAGACATGGGTAGAAAGAGAAGAGGTCTGTTCCTGCTCTCCAGACAAGAGGAGGTCAGAGAACTTCCAACAGAGGAAGATGACTCCCGGGTGGAAGAGCCCAGAGAGAAGGCTTGGGATGGAACTTGAGCTCAGGTGCATCAGGATAGAGTGGGACAGGCCGTTAGAGAGCGGGGAGTCCCCACTTACTGAGGACCTGCCATGAGCCAGACCCCAGCAGACACCTTCAGACAGGTTCTTCTCATGAGAGCCCTGGCACAGGAATGAGATGCCCATGTCACAGCTGAGGACACTGAGGCTCAGGGTGGTGAAGTGATTTGCTCACAGCCTCAGAGCCAGCCACTGGTAAAGCTGGGGTTGAACCCAGCCTTCTCGCTGGCCAGAGCCCACGAACCCCTCAAGCTTCCAAAGAAGAAAGGCCGCAAACAAGTCATAAAAGTCAAAGAAAGGCATTGGCAGGTTCGAAAGACAAGGATAAGGCCTTGCTTACCGTGACCTATGCCCCACACAAGGGTGACCGTGATCAAAGCACAGGGGTGCGGTGACAATCAGTTGGACCTTAAATATCACGCTGAGAGGTCAGGCTATTTTTACAAGTGGAGAGGGACAGGGTCGGAGCTGTGCTTTCAGAATTTGGACTTGGCCACGGGGAGGAGCATGGAAAACAGCACAGATGACATGAGACCCGGGGTGGGAGGCGGGGTGGGGGTGCAAGGCAACAGAAGGAAACAGGAAGTGGCATCAACAGGAAGCAAGCAGAGGCAGGACTGCTGGCTGGAGAGGGGGCCAGAGAGAGGGAGAAACCACTTCTCCTTCCCTTTCTAATGAGGATAAGATTATGCCTTGAGAACAGGGCTTCCCAAAAAAACAGGAGAGGAAGAACCCTGGGCACATTGCCCCTACAGAGGCTGCAGTACTCAAATCATGTGGTCGCTCGGGCCGCCTGCATCCACGCGGGAGCTCCGTCCATCGGGTACTCTGGCCTCAGGCCCTGGGTGACCCTGCGGTGCCCCTGCCCCGTTACCTAGGGCCAAACCCAGGCACAGAGATCAATGGAACCCAAAGGCAAGTGATGAAAGAGGGCAAGAAAATCATGAACAGACTGAGGCACAGCGAAGTAAACAACTCGCCCGATATACAGTGAATGCGTCCCAGAGTCAGGATGCTAACGCAGGCCCTTCTGTGCAGACCCTGCCTGTACCACTCAGGGACCCAGCAGAGGAGAAGCGAAGGAACAAACACTCTGATCTCACTCCCTTCCTACAGTCGGGCCTGCCAGTGTCTCTGCAACGGAAGCCCGAGGGCACAGCAGCCTCATGCAGCACCCCGCCCATTGCATCCACACAGGTCAGCCTTCAGGTGGGGACACGGAGGTTACCCAGGACCTCATCACTCCCACAGCCAAGATCCACAGCAGGAGGCCGCCTGCCTCTCTGTACAAGGGCAGGATGGCACACATGCCTCCACCCCAAGCTGGTCCAGCAGCATCATGCCTCTCCTTCCTTCCTCATTCCCGCTCCGGGCCCTGCCCTGCTCCTATCACATGCCGAAATCTCATGTGGCTTTCTTTAGTCAAGGCAGGCCATTGGGAGTGGCTGTCTTGAGAGAACAGGGCCAGCTGATGCCACTGCCGGCCAAGCTGCCCACCTCCCCGGGCCCTTGCCCGCCCCAGGACCCTCCCTGCCAGCCCTGCACACGAAGGCCTGGCTGCCAGTAAAAAGAAAGGGCTCCTATCTCGGATTCAACAGGGCTCCTGATAAGAAATGTCATCCCTTGCTGTGTAATATTACCCGGCCGGATAAGAATCTCTATCAAGCTCAAACACATGGCTGGCCACAGAACACAGAGCCCTCTGGAGCAGGATCATTTATTTGCTTAAGCTGAAAGCCCTGGGCAGCCGAGAGGAGCGCAGTGAATAAGAGATTAAGAGCCAAATTAGAATCCATCTGACTGGGGGAGTCAGGATTCTTCCTCCGGAAGGATGAGGCCCCAGAGGACACCAGCAGGCCTGCCTCACTTCTCTCCTGACTCAGTAGGCGCCTCCACCTTCTTCTTTCCTCAAAGGGCACTTACACTTATGTGATCGCATTTAATCCTCACGACAACCCCAAGGGAAGCATTTTCAGCCTCCACTTACAGGTCAGGAAATTGAGATTCAGCAAGGTTAAGCAAAACGGCCAAGGTCACACAGGCAGCCATGCCAGCTCACGGAATCAGACCCGTCTGGTCTGACTCACCAACCTGCTGTCAGATCAGCTGCTGGGTCGCTCAGCTGTTACAGCTAAATTAATCAATTAAGTCACATCAGCCCAATGGACAGAGTCAGCTACACAGTATCCTCTGGAAGGTCCATTTCAAGCTGCTCTCCCATCTCCTTCGAGTCTCTGTAACCTGGGGAATAAAGAAGCCTGGCAGAGCATCGAAACTCGAGGCAGGGAAGGGGAGGCCAGGGATGGTACCCAGGAGAGGGAGGAGGGACACCCAGTGCTTCCACTTCTGCCTGTGTATTTGAGGAGTAGGAGACAGAGAGCATTGTGAAAGAAAACTTCCCCTGCATTCATCATTCAGGTGTTCACAGATACTAAGGGAAAGGCTACTGTATGCTTGGATCTGGGCTTGGTCCAGGCAATAATTATCATTGCAAATGAACATATCCTGCGCTCAAGGAGGGGTCTGTCTTCTGGGACTCACAGATCAGCAGAGTTGGGAACCACAGATTGTAAATGCAGACGCAGGAAGTCTAGGCAGCTGATTTGGGAGTGGTGGATGCGGACCATCAGAGCCGTCAGCACAGTCTGTACGGTGTGCCATGCCCTCCTTTTTTCATTTTTTTAAGTCAACTTTGTTAACTGGATGTGAGGGGAGTCTGGGGGAGAGAGAATGGTTGCATATCTATGTGTGACTAAGTCTGCTTTGCTGTGCATCTGAAACTAACATAACATTGTTAATTGGCTATACTCGAATATAAAAACAAAACAGTAAAAAACAAAATAAAAAATAAATTAAAAAAAATCCACATGGTTAAGGCCAACAGCAGTTAGTACAACCTCAAGACTGTTCCATTTCACTATATAAAGCCACCCTTCCTTTTAAGAGCTGTATGAAAGTGACAGTGAAGTCGCTCAGTCCCATTTGACTCTGGGCCAGGCTCCTCCATCCATGGGATTTCCCATGGAAAACTGGAAAAACTTTCCCATGGAAGACTGGAGCAGTATTCCATTCTATGGAGGCACTGTGATGCAGTCAAGCAATACCCAACTAAGGAGCGGGTAAATTGTGTCTCACTGTGGGAGATGAATAGGTGAAGCACACGCGACTGCTAGGGAAGTGAAAATATGCCATATGATACCACCATGGTGGATACATGGCATTACACAGTTGTTAAAAAAGGCTCAACCCCAGAGTGAATCCTAATACAAACAAGGAACTTGGGTGATAATGATGTCAGTGAAGAATCCTAACACAAACTATGAACTTGGGTGATAATGATGTCAATGAATGTCAGATTTGTCAACTGTAATAAATATACCATTCTGGTGAAGGATGTTGCTAGTAAGGAGGTTGTACGTGGGGACAGAGGATATACGGGAACTCTGTACTTTCTACTCAACTTTTCTGTAAACCTAATAATAATAATAAAATCAACTGATCAGGCAAGTATAAGTTTAGCTCAAAAATCTCAGTTCCATCTGCTTTCTATTAACAATTTTTTCCCCCCTAAATTTGGGTCATAGTCTTCTGTTTCTTCACATAGCCAAGAATCGATTAAAAACCAGGCATTGAAGACAGGGTTAGGAGATTAAGAGGTATAAACTACTAAGTATAAAATAATTGACTAGCCTACAGGGAACAGAGCTAACATTTTATAATTACTGTAAATGGAGTATAATCTATAAAAATTTTGAATCACTATGCTGTAAACCTGAAACTAATAGTAGTATAATCAACTATACTTTTATTTTAAAAATAAAATAGAAACTAAGCATTGCATGTCAGTAAATAAATAAGTAAATACAAACAGCTTCATCGTCGGCTATTTCAAGCAACGTTGAGATGAAGACCCTATTCACATCACCTGCACCTATGCATGTGTTTGTGCAGAATAAGTTCTAAGAACTCAGCCAGCATCTCTAAGCCTGACTTTTCCTGCCCCCATCACAGTAAGCATAAGAAAGGCACCTCACTCTTCGCCTTGGCAGCTGATGGCTCCTGGCGCACCTGCCCTGTTCAGACACTGGCAGGGACTCCCCGAAAAGCACCTTCCTACTCCATGTTGAGCAACTGCTGACTTTCTCACAACAGCACATGAGCAAACAAATATACACCTCTTGGGTCACCAAGACACCATTTCTTCTGCCTCTGCCTTAACTGGCTCGTGGTGATTGAATTCAGGAATCAAGCTGAACACAAAACAAGACACCTACCTCTCTTCATCCAAACTGCTCCCAGAACTGGTAAGCTTTCTTCTTTTTCTTCTGGACCCTGAGATGCTCAAGAAGGCAGAGAACCCAAGGCTGGAGAGAGGCAGACCTTCCACGGGACCTCAGAACGCTTCTGAAATCACTGCTCAGCCTAAGAAAACACAGTAAATCAGTGTCAGCTATGCAACGTGGAACCCGAGGCACCCTGAAGGAAAGCATCCGTTACAAACAGAAAAATGTTCCAATATCCAGAAGGCAAAGAGAATACGTCTTCATGGCTGAAATAAAGTGGAAGCTAAGGTAAAGGAGATCATCCTACATGTGGGAGGCTGGCCACCCACTAGTAGATGCTGAGGGAAGAACAACCATGAGCAGAGCCCAAGACACAGCCGCATTTCTCTGGGAGCTCTGAGGGCACTGAGGAAAACGCCTTGGGCCATGTGGTCCTGGATGGAGGGACCAAGAGCTCTGGGAGCAGAGGAAGGCATCACTGACTCGTCCTGCATAGATGAGAGAAGAGGATATTTGAGCTAGGTATTGAAGAGCAGAAATTCACCAGGCAAGGGAAAGTGGGGAAACTTGCAGATGGTATTAACAGCACATGTGACACGAAGTCTGAAAGAACAGACTGCCAGCACTCAGGCTGTAAAGGGAATCCCTCACAGGCTGTGCTAAGAGTTCACTGCCGCCCGCCACCCGCCCCCTCGCCCCCCTGACAGATGACCAGATGCTATGGAGACTCACAGAGGCTCCTGAGCAACAGAGTGACAGATCAGATCTAGGTCTCAGCATCACTGTGAAGGATGAGCTGGTGAGCACAAATTCTCAGCCATGTGGGAACCAGTAAGCCATCCTGCAGAACAGACAAAGTGGCTACCACAGTGGCCTCTGGAGCCAGCTCTCTGTCTTCAAATCTCAGCTCTGCCCCTACCAGCTTGAGCAAGTTACTTACCTACTCCATGTGCAGCCTTCTCACCCATGAAATGAGGCAACATCAGCAGTGCCCTCTTAGTGCTAGTACCTGGATTGCGAGTTAGATGAGTTCATATACATAAGGTGCTTAGCACAGGGCTCAGGACACAATAAGGGCCCAAGACACGACAGTTTTGGGACCACTCCATCTCCCGGGTTCCCCTACAATCCTCTTTCAGCACTGACAGTTCATTTGAAACACAAGTGGTCATGAATCTGAGCAAAACAACATGGTTTGCTTTAGGAGGGCTGGAACCCTGGTCTGAAATAGAGTTTGGGAATTTGCCAGCATCTTTTCAGATTTCCCTACATTGCTGTAAGAGGATGACCTGAGACAGTGGTTCTCAATGCTGCTGCACCATAGAATCACAGGGGAGGTGTTAGAAAGCTGCTTCCCTGGGCTCTGTGCCTAAGTCAGGATCTTTGGGGGTTGGGTCCTGGCAGCAAGATTTTAAATCTTGCAGTTAATTCCAAGGGAAACCCTGTTTGAGAACAACTGACCTATGAGCTTCCCTCGCGGTTCAAACAATAAAGAACTTGCCTGCAATGCAGAAGACCCAGGTTCAGTCCCTGGGTCGGGAAGATCCCCTGGAGAAAGGAGTGGAAACCCACTCCAGTATCCTTGCCTGGAGAATCCCATGGACAGAGGAGCCTGGAGGGCTACAGCCCATGGGGTCACAAGTGTCAGACACAACTGAGTGACTAACACACACCCATGACCTATGAGTCAAATTTAGCAGGAAAGGGAAACTGGGCAAAAGGGAAAGTGCACCCTTGGAGCTGTGTCACCTCCAGAAGGCAGCCCTCCGGGCTTCTGTTTTCTCCCCTAAAGGGGAGATGTGATGATGCCTGGACCCCATACACCTCACAGGGCAGTGGGAGGCGACCTTGGGCTAACAGACTGAGAGAGCCTGGGTCACTAACACTGTGACACACCCCTCAAAGCTCTTCTGGGAACAGAGGAGGGTACCGCACCCTGTGATGAAACCAGGAAGGCAACTAGTGGCGAAAGCATTGGTGAGATGCAGAGAGCTAGTAATGGTCCTAAGCCCTCTCACTAACCAGCTGGGTTACCAGCAGTCCCACCATTTTGAGGTTCAGTTTCTCCAGCAGTTGACTAGGGATAACTGGATAACTAGATTGACCTGACCTACCATTTAGACAAGGGAAGGATGAGGGGCAAGACATGAAGATACAGGTTGAGCTATGAAGAGTCAGGCTCATGCAGAACATTTAAAAAAAAATGTTTGACATTCTGACTGTACTAGGTCTTTGTTGCAGCATGTGGTTCTTTGTGGCAGTGTTCAGACTTTAGTTGCAGCATGCAGGATGTGGGATCTTAGTTTTCCAACCAGGGATCAAACCTGCATTCCCCTCCATTGGAAGGCAGACTCTTAACCACTGGACCATCAGAAGTTCCCACGCAGAACATTTTGACTGAGCATTTTCCAGATCTTCCCTGGAACATGAAAGGTTCTGGAGGAAGAAATGGCCCCTTTGACAATAGTTGTGACTGAGCGGCTGCGAGTATTTCATGAAAGTTTTCATCTGGGCAGGCTGGGAGGGAGCCTGCCGGGGTCCAAGTGGGGTGGGTGATAGGCCAGCAGGGCAGGGTGTGGTCCAGGGCTGCCCCAGCCGAGACGTTAAGATAGGAAGTGCTATCTAGGAACAATGGAACCACAATACCGTTTTCCTAGCCTGAATCTGACAAGAGGGGATAAGGCTCCAGGAAACAGTCCTCTGACAGCTGGCCAGAGCAGCTCTGACAACCGTGAGCTGCTTTATTTGTTCATTCATTCATTCGCTCACGTGCCCTGCAACAGTACACATCAACCACATACCAAGAACTGTGCTAGATGGTGGGGATGCCGAGGTGAGTAAGGTTCCGTCTGTACCCTTAGGAACCACGAAGATCAATAAGGCAAAGAAAGAAGCAACATTTAAGTATAACACTATGTGCTAAAATACAACAATAATAATATTGATGGCCGACTCTACACCAGGAGGCATGCTTGACATTTTATATTTAACACCTCAAATCCTCGATGTCCCCTGCAAGTCAGAGTCCATGTTCCATTTTACAAATATGGAAACTGAGGCTCAGAGAGGCTGATGACTCGACACAGATCACACATCAACTTGGAGGCTGGGCTCGTATCTGAACTCAGGGCAGCGGTGCGCCGACACTGGAGCTCCTTCCCCATGGCTCACGGCTGTAATTCAAAGAATCACGTAAGAATGAGACAGAGGACCCTCCCCCGTGTACCTCCCACAAGCACTGTCCTCCTCACTTCAACAAAATAGTTTAAAAACCATAACAAGCAAACAAGGAAAAAAAAAAATGAGGCTTGGCACCCAGCCTGGGCTCATCACTCAACACGTGCTGACAGACCAAGAGCCAGCTCTCACAGCGTCTGAGCAGAGGAGCAGAGGTGGGAGGTATTCGGGAAGCAGCAGGCTTGGGGTTGAATCCCGGCTTCAGAATTTACACCTCCCTGAACCTCAGTTTCCTCATCCGAAAAACGGGAGCAATAAAACCCACCTGAGAAAACTGGGACAAGATCCAGGACACAGACAATTTCCTGACCTTTGAAGTCCCTGCAAAACGCCCCCCAACAGATCTCAGGGGAAAGAAAACAGCAAATGAAAGTACAACTAGGAGAGACACTGGCACATTTTAAGAGCTCCCACCGAGTCTGGAAACAGACACCACTTGGGAAACATGGTGTCTTCCACGTTCCCTCCCCCCGACAAAGCAGCCCTTTGAGAAGCGGCTGGTGCCGCAACCTGCCCACCTACCTGGGCACCACCCCCTTAACCCTCTCAGGATGGCAGCCACCAGTGCCCAAGTTCTGCTCAGAAAGTCGGGGTACAACCAAACAGGGGTGTCCTGGGGCAGCTGCTGCAGAAACGATGATCACTACTACCTTCATTTAACATTTACTGAATCCTGACTTTGTTGCAGTCACTACGCTTAGTTTTTCTTTTTTTGTTGTTTTACCAGCGGGAAGGGATTCATGGTTTAAATCAGAATTTAAAGCATCAGACTTCAATGACTCCAGATTCCTCAACTTGCTCAGCCTTGAGCCAGTCACTTTACCTCTCTGTGCCTGAGTCTGGGCCTGCAGGTCATCTCTAAAATACACACTCCTGGGGGACTTCCGTGGTGGTCCAGTGGGTAAGACTCGACTACAGGGGGCGCAGATGTGATCCCAGGTCAAGGAACTAAGATCCTGCATGTTGCGCAATGCAGCCAAAAATTTAAAAATAAAATTAACACTCTTCCATTTAGCCCATATTTACTACTATTTAAATAGCAGGGAATGTGAGTCCCTACTCACGTTCCAGGGACTAAAGCATTAAATACAACTAACAGGGACTTCCCTGGTGGTCAAATGGCTAAGACTTCCTTCGCCTTCCAATGAAGGGGGTGCAGGTTTAATTGCTGGTCAGAGAGTTAAGAACCCATACATCTTATGGCCAAAAAACCAAAACATAATAACGGAAGCAATAAGGTAACAAGTTCAATAAAGACTTTTAAAGAATAAATTATAAAAAGAATTAAATACAAGTAACAGAGATCTCAGTCAGCATTTGCAGGGAGCGAGAGGGGGTAGGGTTAGGGAAGATAGTCAAGTAAGTAACTACATAGAGGGTCAGATTAACAGAGATCAACAGAGGAAGGCAGGCAGTGAGAGATGGTGGTGAGGTGGGTACTGTTTATACAAGAGTGGCGAGAAACATCTCTCAGGTAAGGAGACATTTGTGCACATGTGTGTATGTGTGTGCATGTGCACGTATGCGATATTTGTTGAGCATTTACCATACTCCAGGTGGCCATTCCAGGCTTCGGTTAGGTTTTTCATGTACAATAACTCATGTACCTTGCTGATATTCCTAGAAAGAAGACAGGGATAGGTTCCCCACTTTACACAGGACAAAAGTGAGACACAGATTGCTTAAATGACTTGTTCGGATGACCGAGGTGATGAAAAGCAGAGTAGGCTGCGGGCCTCTGAACCGTACACATTAATTCTTCCATTCCTAGAACCCTGTTTGCCAGAGAGTGAGGTTCTGTGGATCGTTACTGTGATCACTGTCAAGAGGCTCATAAGAAAAGAAGCAAAAAAGGCAGAGGATGAAAGAAGAGGGAAGCACAGAACGACTTACATCACAAAA